CTATCTGTCGTTAATCGACAATTTTTTTTTTTTTTTTTTTTTTTTTTTTTTTTAAAGCATTTTCTTGAGATTCGAGAAAATGGCGGATTCTACGAAGAAAAGTTTAACTTCTACTTCGGCCAGCAAGTCAACTTTTGATCTCGCTAGTATAATTTTTGAAAAAGATAAAAGCAGAAAGTCTGTAAAAGGGACTGATAGTTTTAAAACTAGCATTAAATCAACTGCAACTGGTGAAAATTTAGAAAAGGTCACATGCAGTCCGAGTGAAATGGCGGCAAGAAATCGACCGTCCTCATCCAAAAATAAAGATGATGCAATCATCGAAACTGCAAGTTTTTCAAAAGATAACAGTCAAACTTTTGCTGACTTCAAAATGGAAATGCATGAAATGCATAAAAAGTCTTTTGAAGAAATTCAATTAATTATTGCAAATTCGATGGATAATTTACGACAACCAGAAAGTCGTCGTACAGATAAAAGACCCATTTGTGGCCGGAAACGAGTTATTTCTGAATCTGATGTCAACAACGATAGATCAGAAGGTGAAATTTACGAAAATTCAGACTCTGATTTTCTTTTGACTCAAAAGAAGTATAAGATCCCGAAGTTGGATAAAAAGAGAGCCGGGGGAGAAAATCTGGACATAATACAACAAATTAATGAATTGTTGGAGCAATCTAATGATGAAAGACCATGAAAAAGATGACGACTCAGAAAACGATTTTGAAAAGTTTCTTGAACAAGAATATTCTGTTGTGGATAAAGTTGGCAATCTTTTGCCAGCAAAAGTTGCTGACATAATTAAACACATGTTTAATACTAAGCAAGCTGATGATCGGTCAAAAGGAATAATGGAAAAATACCTGAGACCAGGGAATATTGAATTATATCCTCAAAAGATCAATACAGAAATTTGGGGGCATCTGAAAAAGGAAACCCAATTCAAAGACATTGACTCTTTCAAATTGAGTGAAAAATTGATAAAATGTTCATATGCTGTTATGAGCTTAGTAGAACTGTTATTAAAATCTAAGAAACAGGACAAAAAGTCAGATGATAAAGACAGTAGTCTGTCTTCTGGGATTAAGGCTGGAATGGATGCTCTTTCATTACTTGGCCATATAGTGCAGGATCATAATCAGATTAGACGTGATAGTTTAAAGGTAGACTTAAATCTACAATATAAAAAATTGTGCAATCCTTCTCATAATACTGATACTGGATCAAGTAAATGGTTGTTTGGTGATGAACTTGGTAAACGTGTAAAAGACATAAAAGAAACAAATCAAGTTGGTTCATCAGTGGCCAGTGGAAGCCGTCTATATAAAAGCGTTTCAAGATTTAATTCTAGATCCAAGCCTTTTTTATCACAAGGCAACAGTCACTACAAGCGACCTCCACAAAATCAAAGTCAGTACAG